TCATCAGGATTTGACCTCCTGCCCAGGAAAGTCACCCTACTCTCCACGGTACAGCTCCCAGAGACTCTCTTGAGGCAGCACCAGACAGTAGTGAGACGTATGACAGTTGCCGTGAGTTCTCAACCAGTCATCTATTGTTCATGACCAGTTATTGATGCAACATTTACTGAGCACTCCCTATGTACCAGGTGCCCTACTAGGTTCCAGGATATAATAAGGAAGAAGGAGGTCAAACTAACGGGGAAGACACAAAATTACAGTGAGGTATGGTAAATGCTATAGAATTACTGAGGGAAAACACTGGTTTTGTCATTTATCAGTCACTCACTGTTTCCCTCTATGACTATTTACTGAGTCCCTGTGATGTGCTAGGCAACAGATCCACTCTACCACTTGCCAGGGGGAGAAGAGAATGGAGACCACCGACCTGTGTCTGCCCTGTCCCCTCCTTCTTCCCATCCCCATCCCCGACTCCATTGTGCCCTGCAGGGGACCTCCCCTGCACTTGTTTGAGCACCCTAACCTGAGTTTACAAGTTTTTAACCACCTTCCCCTAGAGCCACTTAAGGCCTGGGAGGCACTTCTGTGAACCCTAGGGGCAAGCTCAGGTTTGACTGAGCAAGTGTTGGGGTCGCAAGACCCAGAAGCTGGTATAGAAAGGGAGGAGGCTGGCTCTGGGTGGGCATGTCCCTTTGGCTCAATCTATTCCTTCCCCTGGAGGCAAGGGCCAGGGCACAGCAACCTCCCTCCCCATCACCTGGGAGCTGGCTGGGAATGCAGAACCTCAGGCCCCTCCGCAGACCCTGGGGATCAAATTCTGCATTTTAACAAGGTCTCCAGGTGATTCATATGCACGTTTGGTTTGAGAAACACTGCTCTACAGCTCTATGTCTAATCCCCTCTTTATAAACCCACAGCCCGAGGCCCGCCAAGGCACAGGCCAGGGAGGGGTCCAGCTTGGGTCTGGGAGTGTGCTTCGGGGCACCTCGCTATTCCCTGGAGGTGAGTATGTTCCAAAGCAACTTTGAGAAGAAATACCTTTCCATGAACTCAGATTGACTTGGTCCTGGAATGAGAGATTTATAGTGAATGATCCAAGGAAGAGAATTCCATGAAGTCATGGGCAAAGTGATTAAAGGAAGGTTGGTGATAACTCATCTCTAAGAGGAAGAAAGTTGAGGGAGGGTTGAAAAGCTTCTTGTTTTCTATTTTATTTCTGAATCCAGTGCAAATCAGCTGGAGGAATTTCCATAGTCAAAGTTAATTGTCATTTTTAATTTATTTTTTCACTTCTGTATTCCTTTGGCCTTTTCTCCTCCTTTCTTTACTACGCGTAGTTCCAAACCCCTTCTGATGCAACCATTTTGCCCTGATTTTCTTCACTTCTCTGCTTTGGATTTTCTCATTCTTTCACTTAGCTCCAAAGAAAATCAAACACAGAAAAGTGAATGACAAGGTTTAAAAGCAGTTCAGTGCTAGTTTCATGCTGTTGCAGATTCCTATTGATTAACAATAAAAAACATATTTAACAAGTAATTTTCATTCATACACAAAAAATAGAATTGCATTTTGATTTTTACAAGTACCTTTCACACAGCTACGGTTATTACCTTATTGCCAATTGTGTTTCAGTTTTTTCTTTTCATCTTCACATCTCCATTCTCCCTACTTTTTCTTTTTTCCTTCCTTCCTTCCTCCACCTCTTCTCCCCCTTCTTTTTTACTCTTCGCCTCCTCCTCCTCCTCCTCCTCCTCCTCCTCCTCCTCCTCGGCCCCGCTTCCTCCTCATCCTCCACCTTCTCCTTCTTCTTCTTCCCCTTCCTCTTCCTCTCCTCCTCCTCCCTCTCCTTCTCCCTCTCCTCCTTCTCTCCCTCCCTCCCTCTCTCTCCCTGGCATTTATTAAAGCAAATCCCAGACATCATATCATTTAACTCATTTCCTGTACAATTTCCCGGAGGCAGGGCCACAAGAGAATGTAGGCTGAAGAAATGGTCACTTATGATTCTGTTCTTCACAAAATACAGAATTTGTATTTCTGAGATAAGAAAATATATAGGATTTCTAAAACTGCTACACTCAGATGGTGTAGATTTTATTTTCCATCTCTACGTCCTCCCCCTGGAGTCTCTGGAGGAGGGTCTATGAGAACTTTCTCACCTTCCTTTACTATTAAAGTAGTTAACAGAATAACAGACGCTTTGAGTACTTATAAACCTGAAAAAGAAGCATATATTCCCTTACTGGCTCAAAGAGCATTCTGAGAACATCCTTTTTGCAGTTAAAATTTGTCAGTGTAAAATTTGAAAAGATATTCTGTGTCAAGGACCCAAACACATTTCCCCTCTGCAACCTCTCTGAACTGTCAGAGTGGCTTACAGGCACTTTGGATCAGAACCTCCATACGAAAGCATGGTACACATCAGATCTATTGAGTATCAAGTAATGTGAAGGTTTGGTTATTTTCCATTAGTAAATATCCCACTAAATTTGAGTTAAGTACCCTCCAAATAAGTCAAATAGACAGAGGCTTTGAATGAGGGAATTAATTATAGCTGGTGTCCTAAGGAAAAGAATCCCACTGTGTCAGGGAGAATGTAATTAATGGGAGGTGAGTGCCAACAAATCACTCCTTAAAATATTAATGCTATCAAAGAACAGCTGGATAATGAGAGAAACTTGACGCTTGGGGGGACTAGCCCGGGCTGCTGCTACAGAACTTTATGCAGTTGTGATGTAATGGAATTCCTCTCAATTTAACAAAAATAATATTAAGAGGTGTGGTTCTGGGAAAGTTATTAGCCGTAAACATGTCTTTGTAGTTTTATCATCTTATTATAATCACTATGTCTCACCTTTGCTGTGGTTCTAAATGACTTTCTCTCTTAATGGCTCAGGATATATATAACCCAAACAACACCCCTAAAAAGCAACTTTAAAAAAGCCCTGTACGTCTGGCAAAACTTTTTTCTTGTAAATAAAAACACAGTATCTAAGTAATTTCTGCAAAACAATTTCCATATGCTTAATTTTTAGTCAAGAAAACCTGTCCCATTGTTTATGGATAAAAGCCTGAACTTAATTTGGTTTTACTTTATAGCTTATTATTGTCCCAAGAATATCTAAGAGAGCAATAAAGTTAAATATGTATTTACACAGCCCTACTGAACATCTGAAAAGCTGGGCCTTATTTTTACATTCACATAACTAAATGCTAATCCCAATATTTAAAGTCAGAAATTAGAAATAATTCTTTACCTGGAGTATACTTTAACTTAGATTTTAAAAATCAGAAACCCTTTCCTTCAGAATTTTTTTTTTTTTTTAAGCTTCTGGGAACCGACTGGGACCTTCGGAAGCTGCAAACATGGTAAATGTTTTTGACTGCACATTTTTATTTTTGATCACAGCAAACTTTGACTCTTGTTTTACTCAACTTGCCAACATCTAAATCTAGGACAGAGGCATTCAGCGTGTCTGACAAACAGATTGAGACACGGGGAACATACTCACACGTACCAACAAACGATGAGAGGAAGTTCAGGATGCAGTAAAAGTAAATTCTTGAGTTTAGCCCAGGTTTCACGTAACACCAGTTTCATAAGGCACTTACGCCTCTAAAGGAGCCGTGCCTCTGAAAACAGCACACAAGGGACACATCATTTAAATAAATGTGTTTCTTTGCCCGAACAGAAGTTCAGATCTGCTCAATTATCATTAATTTTGTTCTTTGATTTCCTTGGCGAGCATGAACCGAGAGAGCTCGTGCTCTTTGAGGTTTCTGGAGCTGCCCTCGGCTGGGTGGTGTGACCCGCAACTCTTCACCCGGCGGCGCGCAGGTCAGGGGATGGGGAAAGAGTGCTTGCGTGTGTGTATATTTGTGAAAATGTGCCAACTCGCCTAGAGGGGGGAAAAAAGTGGTAACTGGGGTGGAAAACTCAGTGCACACATTGGCGGACCCTAAAAATCAGGCTATCAGTCCAGAATCCTTACAACAGGTGTCTCAGGAATGAGTCCGGATCCGTGCAACAGGCGACAGAAGACTCGACAAACCTCAGCCACCGCGATCGTTTTTTATGACACCCATAAAAAGCAAAACCTGCATCTCCACCCTTGCGCCCAAGCGCGTGGATAGACGCGGAAACCCGGTAGCCCTCTCCCTCATTCTGCGGAGTTTTCAAGCAGTGCGAGAGTTGGGGTGTGTGGGGGCAGGGTCTGGAGTCCTCAGGTTTGGAGTTGAGTCTTGGGGGAGCGCGGTGGGCGGGGGCGGCCTCGGGAAGGCGGAGGATGGCCCGCGAACCAAGAAGCGCAAAGGACCGGGGGGCCCACACCATACCCGCGGCGATTAGCCCCAGCGGCGCGACCCGGGAGGGCGGACTCTTTTTTCACCCTCGCTGTCTCCCCCTCCCTCTTCCTTTTTAAAGGACGCCTTGCAGGCAGAGCTGTCAGCAACCGAGAGGCCGTTTGTACTTGTCCACGGCCAGGCTGACTCCCGTTCCCGTGACAGACAGGGGCGGGCGCTGAGGGGCTTCTTGTCCCGGGACCAGCACGTGGGGATTTCAGATTCTCCTTCCTTTGGGCTCCGCTCCGGACCCTGCGACGACCGAGTCCGGGCGCTGTGCGGCCCTGGAGTTGTCAGCCCTGGGCTCGATGGCTCCCGTGAGGAGTGGAGAGGGAGGTGGCCAAGGGTTCGGCGCGCCCCTCTCGCCGGGAGCGTTATGAGCCTGGCAAAGGGCAGCAGCAGCACCTTCTGCCGGCGCTTCCCGCGGGTCCAAGCCCACTGGCCCCCGTGCACCATGCCGACCCCCGGCCAGCGGACCCCGCAGCGCAGTCACTGCTGCCTCCCAGGCCCCTGCTAACCCACGCGGGAGTGGCCTCGGCCATCGAGGCAGCCGCCCGCGCCTCGCCCCGGGGGAGGCGGAACCGCGGTGCGCCCAGAGCCCCGGCTCAGCCCTTCGCTCTCCAGCTGTGTCCCCATCCCGGCCGCCCACGGCGCCCGTAGCGATGGGGGCGCTGTTGGCGCTCTACCTCCTTCTGGGCTGGCTGCGCTGGGGCCCGGCGGGAGCCCAGCAGTCCGGAGAGTATTGCCACGGTTGGGTAGACGTGCAGGGCAACTACCACGAGGGCTTCCAGTGTCCGGAGGACTTCGACACGCTGGACGCCACTATCTGCTGCGGCTCCTGCGCGCTGCGCTACTGTTGCGCCGCGGCCGACGCCAGGCTGGAGCAGGGCGGCTGCACCAACGACCGCGGCGAGCTGGAGCACCCAGGCATCACCGCGCGTAAGTGCGGACCCCCCAGGCCAGCCTCCCGCCCGGCCGCCCCGGGCTGCTGTGTGCGCGCTAGTGGGCGCCTAGGCCTTCTTGGGTCTGCGAAAAGTGGACGCAGCGAGGTCGCGGGGCGGGGGGCGGTTTATCAGGAAGGAGTGGGTGGTCTTGTTTCAGATCAGGAAGCCCTATTCCTTTGCACTCTCCATTCCCGCCACTCGCTGTTTCCGCGGGTCGGCCCCAGGAAAAGTTTCAGGGGACAGCGAGGACCACGAGGCTCGCTTAGGATGACTCTGGGGAAGACAGCTGGAACTCCGGGAGCTCGGGGCCTTGTAGAGAAGGGCTGTGGGGGCTGCACCTGGTTTTTGGGGCTGTGAGAGCGCCGCATTGCGTGCCCTGGCCACTCCGGGGGCTCCAAAATGGGCCGATGGCGCAGGGAACTCAACTGCTGGGGCGCGCTCACCTGGAGCCCCCAGGGCTAACGAACTTGAGCCACTTCCCTCCGCCCCCCGCCCCCCGGGGACTTTTGGTAGCCCTTCTAAACCTGCTGCTCCATTCTTCCGATTTCCTTTCATTTGTCTGCATCGAATTACCCACTCCGACCCACCCCCTATTGTCACGCCTTTCAGAAATGCCCGGGTGCTCGAGGTGGAGATTTAGAAACCAGGGTCGCGAGGGGCTTCCCCGCCTCCTATTCTCACATCGGAAAACACGGGTCAAATTTCCGCTCACTTCAGAGCGGAATAAATCACGACCCCAGCAGAGGAACTTTACACGTTTCGGGGCGGGGTGGGGGGGAGCTTTCCACCTGAGTCAGAACATCAGGGAAACCCTTTAGAGCTCGAGGTGACGGTTTTACGGCCGCGAACCGGAGGAGCAGCTGAGAGCGCGGGGGTCTGCGGGCAGCACGAGCAGGTCCCGACAAGGCGAAGAGAGGCTGGAGAGGGAGTTAACGGTGCCGGAGCTCCCCGCTCTCACCCGCACGAAAAGACGGATCACCCAGAGGAAAAGGGAGTCCGGGGGGCTTTTCTTAGAACTCCATTAGCGCTTTCCAGCAAGTGTAACTTTGGAGGTCAGAATGCCTCATCTAGAGGATTTGGGAAGGTGCTCCTGGAGAATAGATGATCAGTGGGAAGGAGAAAAATAAAGATTCTTCTGACCATGGGGGACCCGGTCGCTCTCTATAGAGTAAGTGTAAGTGACCAGTGTACAGCGGGGACTCCTCCCTGGACCCCTTAGCTCTGCTCAGAGGGCGCAGTCTCCGCTCTCTGAGGCTAGGATCTGACACTTCCGTGCGGACCGCGGCTCCGTTGCTGGGCAGCGCTGTAACCGCGGGCAGCAGCTGTGCGCTGAGCCTCTGCGCAGCTCTAAAATGGGCACATTGCTCCCAGAGGTAGGCTGTGGTTTGCACGAGAGCGCAGGAATGCTGAGCGCAGTGCTCAGGGAGCGGTCGTGGGTCACTTCTGCCCTGCCTTCCACAGGATGCTACTGAACTGGTGGAACGGGTGGTCCACGGAAGAGCTTACACCTACGAGCCCACCGAACTTGGGGGCTGGTAGTTACCCATCATTCCCGGTCTTTGAGAATGTCAAAAACTCCCTGATATGTTTCGTATCTGGAAAATAGGACTTATTACACCCACCTCACAGGGTCTTCATGAACTTGAGTCAGATGACAAATAAGAAAAGAGCCAGGCATAGGGAGGGCCTCAGCCAGTGCAGGTTTTCTGTCTTCTCTCTCTGAGCGGGAGGTCACAGGCAAGTGTGGCTCAGTCAGGCGTGGGGGTCGCCTGGAAGACTGCCCCCGGGGGCCCTGGGGTGGGCACTTTCATGCCTGCTTTGTAGAAGGACAGGGAAATTGGGGTTTGCTCTGTCTGAGGGATGCTCACGCTCAAAGCCGCAGCCTGCGATGCCAAGAACTGCGTGGTGATCTACCCAAGATTCCGCCTGACTTTCTCAGGGTGTGGGTGAGACTCCAGAGGCAGATGTGTGGCAGCTGGCGGAGGCATCCCAAACTGTTTTTGGAAACATCCAGAGATGACAATTTGTGATGCAACAGGAGACACAGTTAATTGGGGCCCACTGTGGATCGCTTTATGCTGTTCTTTCCATAGTCTGATAAATCCCTGAGGGTCTCATTTAACAGGCCTCGTTCTCGTTGCTTCGATTGGAGATTCTGGGACGGGAGATGGATTTTCAGCTTCAGATATGGGTCAAAGCCCTAAGTGCCCCACCATGATAAAACTACTAAAACCCGGATTTAAATCCAGAGTTCCAGTAACCAAGAAAAACACATTTCCTTTTCTCAGTGTATGACTACGATAGAGCCCATTCCTTCTGAGTTCCAGATGTGCAATATGATGGCTAATTGCTAACAGAGGCTACAGTATCAGTTTCCTTCCCGCTAGGAGCGAATATTCGAATATTCGTTATCCCAGTTTGCACCCTAAAAGTTACCAGAAAGAAGGTCTGAGAAGCTGGGCTGACCAGTGGTTCTACTGAGCCGCCCACCTTCCACTCTTGAGCTGCCCCGAGTTTGGGAGACCTCTGTCCCAGCATCTGTCTATGTCTGTTTTTGCCTTTTAGAGCCTGTCTACGTTCCCTTCCTGATTGTCGGCTCCATCTTCATTGCCTTCATCATCCTGGGCTCTTTAGTGGCTATTTATTGCTGCACCTGCTTGAGACCCAAGGAGCCCTCCCAGCAGCCAATCCGCTTCTCGCTCCGCAGCTATCAGACAGAGACCCTGCCCATGATCTTGACCTCCACGAACCTCAGAGCGCCTTCCAGGCAGTCCAGCACAGCCACCAGCTCCAGCTCCACAGGGGGCTCCATCCGAAGGTTCTCCTTTGCCAGGGCAGAGCCAGGCTGCCTGGTGCCCTCCCCGCCCCCACCTTATACCACAGGCCACCCCATCCACCTGACCCAGCCGTCAGGCTTCCTGGTGTCACCCCAATACTTTGCTTACCCGCTCCAGCAGGAACCCCCACTGCCTGGGAAGACCTGTCCAGACTTCAGTGCCAGTTGACGGGCCACGGCCCTGGATCCACCACGTAGTACCGTGGCATACAGGTGGAATGCTGCTGCCGTGGCCACAACTATTTCTGAGGGGATTTCCCTCGAACCCAGCAATGCCGTGGAGAGAGTGCTAAGAGAATATGATGCCTTCTAGAATCAAGGTTCCTGGCTCCTATCACAGGAGGACTGGGTTAGATAGTTGCTTTCTTGCTTTGAAAACATGGTGACCATTACATTTCAATTTATGCTACTTTTATTCAAAATATACAGCAGTTCAACTTTAAAGATGCAAACAGGCTGAAGATTTTTATTGGACAACTCAGCTGTTCTGTTTAGAAAAGGTCTACATGTCCTTTTTTTTGTTATAAGTTGTTCAGTGAGTTATAATACAAATATATACTTAAATAAGCAAATGAAAAATACCTGATTGTAATTATTGATGACCCACTTAAAAGAATTAAATGCCAAGTAAACTGACAAACTATTTATGATTTTGGGAGCAACCTAACCATGAGTAATATTAGGATTATCAGAAACTGTTACTTTTTAAAGTAATAACTAAATTTTGTTTAAAATATAAGAGCTTTTTCAGAATGCAAGATCTCAATAATCACAGGAGGAGTTTAAAGTTTTAAATATTTACTCAGATACTCAATGTAACACAAATCGTATGTAAAAGCATTTCCCTCTCCACCTGAGGGAATATTTATTGCAGACTTCAGCAATATTTCATGTTTAAATGAAAGTTGGACAGTTGGGTCTTAAAGCATTTGTATGTAAAATGAGTTATGTACAAATGTAAAGATTTGTAATTTAATGGATTTACCCCATTGACGGTACTAATTATTTAGTAGTCACACTGTAATTTTTTATGTTAATAATAACTGTGGAGTTCAAAGTCCAGCTACTGGTTATACTCGTCTAATATTACATATCGCAAATGCCACCGAATTCCATGTCTGATGACTACATATTTGGGCACATATCCTGCTGGGTGAGAATAAATAAAATACTTTGTTTTTATGAAACCTATTTGAAATTTTAGATCAAAGTGCTTCATTTTATCTCCTTAAAGACACTCTTTGCTATTCAATAAAAGGAAATATCTTTACTTAACACTTCCTATTTTAAATGCAAAAAGAAAAATCTTACAGTGATTTCAAATTACATTAAAAAGTGATTTCCTGCATTGGAGCTTCTGAACGCAGTAAAGGAAGAGAATTTTTCTAGAGTGTCAGCCTGTGGGCTGCAGGCAACCTCAGATATATCAGGCTGAGAGAATCTGGATTTCTGGCTTCTCATGACCTTAGAAGATGTGGCGCCAGAGGTGCCTGTGCTGCCACGGGGTCAGGCCGGCCCCCTTCCGCCAGGACAGCGTTCCCTTGCTTCCTGCCTGGTCTTCCCCACCTGGCCCATCTCTCTCAGTGTCATGACTTTCCTGGCCCCTGCAGGTGTTTGGGAATCCAGGTTCTTATGATTTTATGCTATCATAGGTTGCCCGTAGCAACTCTTTCCAAATACAGCTACTGGTTAGAGTTAACATTCTGACCTAAGAGAGTGGCCTGGGCCCGCCTCTCTGAAACAAGGGTGAAGGTATGGAGCCTGTGCTGGGCTAACGGCCATGGAGCTCTGACTCCCAGTCTCCCGCTTTCTACGGATCTCCATGGGGCCTGGCTTCCCGTATCCCAGATTAGTCCACCTAACAAAGGAACAAAAGAAAGGAAGGAAGAAGGGAAGAAGGGAGGGAGGGGAGTGAGGAAAAGAGACAAGGCTGAACAGAAAAGGATCACAATTTGAGACCATGCCTTGGAAGACATTCGTATGTTATGAGACTGGTTTTTAAAAAATTTTAGTTTTGATTTTAGAGAGAGGAGGAGGGAGGGAGGAAGAGAGGGAGAGAAACATTGATTGGTTGCCTTCCGTATGTGCCCTGACTGAACCTGCAACCCAGGCACGTGCCCTCACCTAGAATCGAACCTGTGACTTTTCGGTTTGTGGGACGATGTGTAACCAGCTGAGCCACACTAGCCAGGGCTAGGCTAGTTTTTATTCATGTTTGTGAGGTATGTCTCCTTTCACATTTCTAAGGTAATCTTTACTGGGTTCTTCTGAACTCTACACTATTGTAAATATTTACCTGAACTAAATAATTTTATCCTCCTAAAATCTCAGCAGGGAAATATTATAATTTCTATTTTACAGATTTGGAAAGAGGCAGAGGGAAGTGAAATAACTTGCCCAAGGTCCCACAGGGAGTCAGAATGGGAATTGTGTGCAAAACCAGAGTCAAATATCAAGAGACATGCTGCCTGGAGGTTGTGATGCCTCCGAGCATGAAATCCACTGGAGAGGACAGCACGAGGCCCGGTCCCCCTAAAAGGCAGTGACTGTCAACTCCGCTGGGTCCAGGGAACTCCCCTTAAAACAATTATTTAGTGATATCCCTTGGACTGTCCTAAAATGAAATTCCTAGATGCTATTTACTCATACTACACAAATAATTAAACAAATCAATAGAGTGGCCTCATGGTGAATAGAAAGGAGAAGGAAAGGGAAAGTAATTTATTTCAATATATAATGGCTTGGGCAAACTAAGCAAAGGATTCAGGTGCAAACCTCTCAACAGAATCGGTGACATGTGATGGTTCCAAATCCAGACTGACGCATATTTGCGAGGCTGGCAGCTCAAACTCTACAGTTGCACTGCTGCTGTTGATGTGATTTTTCCAAACAAAGCTTGATCTTCTTTTGATTTGCACAGTAGTTATATATGTGGAAAATTCAGTGTCTATTAAGGCGGTAGAAACATTACTTTATAGGGAAAATGGGATTATGTTTTTCCACCAAAAGGAACGTTGGGACATTCCGAAGTCATGCTGATGGACATCAAGTCCTCGATGTGCGGACTGTCCCATGTATCGTAGGATCACTCCAATGACCGTTCCTAGTACACCTGCCCCGCTCCATCCATTGAGGCCAAAGGTACACCCACACAATTTCACAATGTCCTCTAGAGGGCAGAACTGCTCCCACTGATAACCATCTAGTTTGTCAGGTTTCTCTAGTAGCTGTATTTTTATTTGCCATCCCTTTGGGAAGCAGTTTGTATCTCTTAGGCAGAATAATGGTGAAGAATTCTGAAAGGTCTCATCTGCGGCCTTCCCTTCCTTAGCAGCGTGCTCCCATCAGTCAAGTTCACTGGCTATACACTGAAATGAAGGAGTCATTGTGCACCTCATTGAAACACAGCATTCAGTGACACTGAATCAGATCATATCCTCATGTACTTGTTGATATGTATATATCATACCTTTGAACTTCTCTCTGGAAGCTAGGTAGCTGATATTATCATTCACAATTCGAGGGCAAAGAGGCCATCCTGTGACAGATTGGCAGATATCGTCCCATTCAACAAGCTTGTGCTGGAAACCGTTGATGGGTCAGGCACTGCGCTAGGGGATGGGAGGACCAAGATAAACGACATGCAGTTCTGATTCAAGGAGCCACTTTTTCCATGGACTCGGGCATGACAGCAAATACCTGTGATGGTGTGGATGCTTCATAAGAGAAGCATGCTATCCTTCCCACCTTCTAGGAGCTCACAGTCACGTAGCGGAAGATGAACTCATAAATCAACGTTTAGACTTCATTATGGTAACTGCAATGGTAGGGCAAGTACATAGAGAATGTGCTGGCAGCACAGGCAAAGGGCACCGAACCCATCTGGAGAGGATGAGACTGGACCGGATTCCCGAGAGCCGAATGGGGTTTTTGTGAAGAAGATTGTTTGGTGGGAGGGAGAGAAGAGGGCAGCAAGTGAGGGAAAGAGGAGCTTAGGCGATGCACAGAGTTCACATAAAGGCAGAGAAGCATCTACACATGTGAAAGAACAAGGAGTATTCTGAAAACTGGACAAAGAATTCAAAGAAGGGAGACACAAGCAGGACTGGGTCAGGTCAGAGATCTTGAACACCCCATGGTAGGTGGATATATATCAAATGCAAAGGGGAGCCTTGAAGAATTTTATAAGGGAGAGTGATTTGACTACATCTTCATTTTAGAGAGATTAGACAGCCAAGGTCACATTAAATCACATAAAATGTCCAAGGAGACGCTCACCACAACCTGCCACTCTGCCAGAATGCAGAGGAAACTTGTCTCATCAACACTTTATTATCTTCACGAAGAATTTGAGTTCCAACAGCCTAAAATCATGATTATTTTGAAAAAAGTCCTACATTTTAAAATGTAGTTATTCAAATAATTGGCAGTATTTATCAAGCACCACATATGTCCCAAGTTCTTTATGAATTATATCAATTAATCTTTACAACTCTAAAGTAGGGACCATTAACATGCCTGTTTCATTGATGAAGAAATCAAAGCAGAAAGGCCCAATAATAGCAGGGCCAAGGCCCTGGCTGGATAGCCCAGTTGGTTAGAGCATCATCCTGATATGCCAAGGTTCAGGGTTTGATCCCTGTCAGGGCGCATACAAGAATCAACCAATGAATGCATCAGTAAGTGGGACAATAAATCAATGTTTCTCTCTCTCTCTCCTGTCCTCTCTCTCTAAAATTAATAAATAAAAATTTAAAAAAAGAGCAGAGAGAAAATTTGAACATAGAAAACCTGCTTTGGCACTCTACATTCTTATGACACCTACCTAGAAGACCCAATTTTCCAGGAAAAAATACCTAACTACTTTTCAGGAAATCTAGTTGGGGGTGGGGAGGGGTGGAAGTGACTGTGTAATGTATATATTCTATAGAGGGGATTGTAATGGTCAGTAGAGTTTGTGCTACATTATGAGAATCTAGAATAATATAAAGCAATAAAAAGAAACTTTAGAAGACAAACATCTCTCCCTTTACACGTGAGAAACTTGAGGCCAGAAGGCAACTCAGCATGGACTTTAGAGCCATAGTGTCCGGGTTAGTTTTCTGGCTGTTGCTTAAGAGCTGAGTGATGCTGGGCCACATACTTACCTTTGCTGTGTGTTTCTCATTTGTAAAATGGTGCATTATTGTTTAGGACTGTTACAAGAAATAGGGAGTTAGAGTTGCTGTCTCAAATCACTTGCATTGTAGTGGGAAGGGAGCTATG